AAAGAAAGAAAGAAAGAAAGAAAGAAAGAAAGAAAGAAAGAAAGAAAGAAAGAAAGAAAGAAAGAAAGCCTTTCTATAGCCACTACAGAGTAACTCCATTGCCTCTATGGCAGTCACCCACGCTGTCCCCTGGTTTAGAAACTCCTAAGTGAGGGAAGGCTGGAGCAGAACAAGGGAAGGACTCAGGAGACAGCTCCCAAATGGACCGCTCCTTATATGATTCTGGACAACGGGTGAGCTCTGCCACACTGGCATGCACTCTAAGGAACTTCTCATAGACAAGGCCTCTTGGGGTTTACTTGCTTAAACAAGACCTGGAGTCACTGGCTTGTCAAACATAGACAGAATTAAGATAGGATAACTTTTGAATTAAAATAACGTAAGCTCTGTTACGGACACAATAATATTGATTACTAATGGATACATCAGAATCAGTAAGCAAGTAGGCTAACGTCTCAGTTTCAAGTCCTCAGTACGGCACAGTTTTGGTGAGAAGTAAAACGTCATTAGATCTAAGGAGAACGGACTGAGTGCAAGCACAGTGCTCGGCAGGGAAAAATTGTGTGAGGGGAAGGTTTCATTTCTAAATTTGGGCCGAACTTTTTATACTGTTTTTCAAAAGTTTAGCGCAATCTCAGTTCCTCAATCCCATACCGAAAATAACCGATCTAGAAAACATTGCCTTAACCCATGGAGCTGTGTTTGAAGGACAAGTCTAGGGGATGTTGTTTGACTAAAAAGGCGACCAACCCGGGAGGGTGCAAGACCTAGGGTCCTTGAGATTGCTGCAAGAGCTCAGACGGACCCTCAAAAAGCCATCCTTGCAATGACTGGAGACGAGGCGCTCGCGGGGTGCGGAGGTATTCTAAGCAGGAAAACAAGGTGGGAGGCTAAACGCCGCTGGAACAAAGGCGTGGCAGGACCTCAGGACGCCGACCAGAGCGGCCGCGGCTTCCAGGAGGGAGTGTTGGAAACACCCTGGCTGGGAGCGTCCCCGTGGAGACCGCCGGAGTCGCGGCCCCGCCCACGGTAGCCCCGCCCCCGCCGGCGCCGACCAATGGGAGAGCGGGATGTTAGAGTGTGGGAGGCGCGGCCGGGTTGCTACAGCCGGAGCTGGGGGGCGGCGGGCGCTGCCTGCGGAGCCGGAGGCGGTGCGCCATGGAGGGGCTGGAAGGTGAGACCGAGGGGGCTGCGGCCGCGGGGCTCGAGCGGGCCGCAGCGACCGGGGCCTGGGCTCCCGGGGCGAGCGCGGCCGGACGGCTCTGCGCCGAGGGCCCCGCGCCCGCCGACGCCGGACCGCCCCGCACGGGAGCGGTGACCCCGGGGCTGGCCGCCGGGCACGGTGCTCGGCTCCTCCGCGGGGTCGGGACCCCCGTCCACACGCCTGGAAGGCCTTTCCGTCATCTCTGCGCCTTCCTGGACCCCCGAGGCTCCTTTGGGCAGTCAGTGTCTCCGGTCGGGTTTTATTATCTTTGCAAGCTGTGTTCTCGGTTAAGGTCGGCGACGTCCGGGTCGCCAGCCTTTGCTGACCCCTCGGGACTCGCCCGCCTCCAGCGAGCCCTGGACCTGCACCTTGGACAGTCTTAGGTAGCCTCCCTTCCGTTTCTGCAGCACCTTGGTGGGAGAGATGCCCGAGCATCTCCCAGGGAAGTGTCTCTGGCCAGCTCTACAGCAGGGACAATAGCTTCAGCCTTAATGGTTTATTCACGAGGACTGGCTAGGGAAGAGCCAGCAATTGGTTCCTTATCTTTGCTTTATCCTGGTGCTGTACCCATGGCTTCAGATTTTGCTTTGTTCCCATTTCTTTAACTTTTTCTTCCTTTTCATCCATTTTAACTCCGTGCAAGGACAACGTTCGCTTAAAAACAAAGGGAGGAAAAAAATATCCAGCCACCTAGCAACAGTGACAACAGTTTCAAGGTTTAAATCCTTCTCACAAACAAGCGTTCAGAATATTTGGATTCTGTTGTCTTAATACAATTTTGTTATGATTTTTTTTTTTATTCTTTACAAAGATTTCACCACTTAATGTACTTGGAATGAGCAGAGGCTGTGAGCCCTGCATTTTCTTGTATTATAGATAGTTAAATATTTCATGGCGTGTTATGAACGGTGGTAACTGATAACTTTTTTTCCGGTGATTTGAAGTGCACCAGGAAGAAAATAAAATAATATGATTATGAGTTTTATTTTATAGTTTTGCAGTAAAGTGTTCACCAAACACCTTGAAGTTGATAAAGAATTCCAGTTGGCCATTTATCCTAGCTGCAGTTTACTGTTACCTGTGAAGGCCTTATTTCCTATACCGTCCAAGTTACCATGAAGTGAGAAAATGTAATGACAGCACTCCTTCCCTTCAAAAATCTCTTCTCTTGGGAGACTCCTCCAGGCAGCTTCCTTTAATTATTTAAAACCGTTCGGGTGTGGAGACTAGATAGAAAACAGTGTTGATGCATGGGCTCGAAGACTTTATGATGTTTCATAGTGCATGAAGAGTGTTTCAGAATACTTCACAGTTTTTTACTGAACAACATTTACAGTGAGAGAAATATTCACCCAGTGTTTCACTAATTTAATCTATGCATGCAAAGGAAGTGCTACCCGTTCTACTAATCTTTACATTTTTAGCCATGTTAACATTGCTGTGGTAATCTAAATCAGAAATTTTAGAGACATAATTAAAATCTGTTAGTGTCACTGTGTGTGTGTGTGTAGCGTATGGATCCTGATTTAATATGGAATGAGCTTGATGTATGAGTGTGGTTTATGGCCCTTAAACCCTGTTTTGTTTTGTTTTGTTTTCTAACAAAATAAGATGCTATCATTACATGTGTTTAATTGTAATGAATTAATAAGAAATTAGTTCTGTCTGGCAGAACAGCTGAGTATTGGCAATTTCAAGTGGTTCAACATAGTTAAAGCCCCAAAGTGTTTTGCTGAGTGGAAAACAGTGGGTTCGTTGTTTGGTTGGTTTGTTTTTTGTTTGTTAGTTTTGTCTTCAGCCTTACCCCACTCCAGCCTTCCTTTAAAAAAGTCAGTTCCTACTACATCAATCACATTTTGCAAAGTTCACAACTTTGAGTCTTAAGGATACCATTCATTAATTTTTTTCACCCATGCTTTCACTTAATAAGCAGTAAGGTTTAGCTTTTTTTCTACATTGGAAGTTAGAGGACAGTATGTAGCATAAAATCTTCAAGTTGCTTACTTTATCTTTGCCGTTGATTTGTCAAAAATAATCTTTGACATTTGACTTATATTTTTAGTTGAAAGTAGTTAGTACACTCCCGAAAAAAATGTTTACTAAAGCAGTTCTGATCCTTTTGGCACACGCCTTCCAGCACTCTGAGAGGCAGAGGCAGGAAGATCTCTGTGAGTTCAAGGTCAGGCTGCTCTACAAAATGAGACCAAAACAGCCAAGGCTACACTCGAAAAACAAAGACAAACAAACAAACAAACAAATTTTAGTTGACCATATTTAAATCATGTACCATTTATGTTATTTTTTTATGTCTGGAATTGTCACAAAATGAACTATAAGATTGCATGCTGTATTTTGAAACCAAAAGTTAGGTTTTCTTATAATTTCATATAATTAATAGAAGAACTTTTGCATGGCTTGAGTAATTAGAGAAAAGACTTTTTTTTTTTTTTCGTGTGACTGCTATATCCTGGATGTATCTAAGGAACATAGAAGTAGTTCTAGAGTTGGGAAGTTCTAATCTCTTACAAGTTTTATCATCTATAAGATTGAGGTGATAAAATTTAAGGTTTTATTCTTATATACGGTATTGTCTTTGCCTTCCTAATATTCTCAAATATAGTTATAACAATTATGGCAGACATTAGGCAGGCCATTCCTCACCTGGTCTGCTAAGTTTGTTATCTTAGTCTTCCCTGTTGTAACAGGCCTGGTGGAAGTCTGCAGTCATACTTTGTTAATGTCTGTTTGGTTTTAACTTAGCGTAAATGTATAACTGGATTACTGAATAACTGTTCATCATTGTTAGTAGCATCCATTTATTTGTTGCTATGTTTGTTGGTAGGTGCAGAGTTGGTATTTAGGTATTTTAATGGCCAAGGTTTAAAGAAACCATTAGCTAAGCTCTTGCTTTTTCGTCTTGTTTGTTTTTTTCCCCACCCTTTGTGATTCAAACATGTACATTTTTTTAAAGTATTTTTAAAAGTATATTTTAAAGTATTTTCAAAAGTAAAATTTATTTTACTTTTTATGTATGACTCATTTGCTTACATGTATGTATGTATGTATGTATGTGTCCATGTGTATGCTTGGTGCTGGCAAAAGGTCTAAGGAAGCATCGGATTCCCTGGAATTATAGTTACTAACCGTTGTGAGCCCCTAAGTGAACATTGGAACCTGAACCCTGGGTCCTTTGCAAAAACAGCAAGTACTCTTGACCAGTTGGCCATCTCTGTCTTATCCACTCTTGGTCATATTATTCAAGTCAGAATCTCAGCTATAAAAAGCAAAGCTATTAAACATTAAACCACATTGACAATATTAAGTATTAAACATACACCGAAAAAACATTAGCTAAATGTCAAGTGCATTGAAGCACTTAGTGGTTAAAGACTTAAGGAGACATGTTAGATGCTTAAGAACATTACATTATAGCTAAAACATAGTCCATCTTTCCTGGCCTACCAGCCGAAGCCCAAATACCTGTGCTCAAGATAAACTGGAAAAAAAAGGGAGAAACTTTAAATGCATATATATGATGAAGATTAAAAATATGGCAAAAGTAAAAGGATAAATTTTGAAGATATTTTAGAAAATGAGTTATGACTGCTTAGTTCAAGAGAGGAATGATTCCTGACTTGATGACTTTGGCTTTAGAAATACTTGGGAGTATCAAATTTAAAAATAAACAAACCTCATGGTTACTTGGAAGTTATTTACCTAGAGATTTTAGTAACTATCACTAGCCAGTGGGAGCCATTCCCTAGGCAATTTAACAAAGTGAGTAAAGAAACTACAAAATTTTATGTTTCAGGGTTACATGGGATGGGAAATTAGGTGGATGGAGTATTAAGGAAATTTTAGAAATTGCCTCCCCCCCCCAAAAAAAAAAAAAGAGGAAAAGAAAGGAATATGGGAAAGAAACTAATATGTATGGAGAAACAAATGAACTGGAAGAAGTTTATAGTACCTCCTGGGTATAGGTGGAAAATCTAACTAATCTGCCAAATCCTGCTTAGGTGGTAAAACCTGAAAATTCAAGATTGGGAAGAAATACAGAAACAGGAAAAGGAAGGACATTAAAGTCCAAAGAAATTATCAACAGTACCTCCTGCTTTGGAAAAACCAACTCAATAGGGTGCAGAAGAGGCATTTAAATATGACAGTTAGGAGTGAGTAGTGACCGCCTGTTTCTTAGTCTTTGTAACCATAGCATTCCCTGATCTTGTCCACTTGACCATTTTTGTTCTTTCCCCTTTTTCTTTTTTTCCTTCATGTGATTAATCACCTGACATTTTTAACATTAGTTTTTGCTTAAGTTTTTCCACTAATATTTGAAGGGTAGAGTCTGTAAGATTGGACCTTTGTTTTTGTTCTTTTTTTTTTTCCTTTTAACTTCATATGTCAAAAAAGTTTTAGCTAATGCCAGAAAAATCAATTAATATTTGTTGAATCAAGTAAGGGGCCTAATTTTTTATAGTGGATAGGCTTAGAAAGTGTGCCTCTAATCATGTAGGAAGTGAGTTATAGGGAAAGACGAAGCAGACAATGCCAGTGTTTGGAAAATACACTACTCGGGACACTGGACGTTATTTCTTGGTTGTAAAAAGGATTCTTTTTTAAAAAAATTATTTATTTTTTATAAATTATAGTTTATTTGCTTTGTATCCCAGCTGTAGCCCCCTCCCTCTTGCCTTCCCAACCTCACCCTTCCTCCCTCATCTCCCATGCTCCTACCCATGTCCATTGATAGGGGAGGTTCTCCTCTCCTTCCTTCTGACCCTAGCCTATCAGGTCTCATCAGCACTGGCTGCATTGTCTTCCTCTGTGGCCTGGAAAGGCTGCTCCCCCCTCAGGAGGAGGTGATCAAAGAGCCAACCACTGAGTTCATTTCAGAGACAGTCCATGTTCCTCTTACTAGGGAACCCATTTGGAGACTGAGCTGCCATGGGCTACATCTGAGCAGGGGTTCT